TATTCCCTTCCAGGTGTTTTTAATATTGTTCAGATTATTATTAAAATAAGTAATAAAGTATGTTTTTTTGCTAAATTTTAATAAAATAAAAATTTTGTTTCTATAAAATTTAAATTTTGCAAATAATTCATTTTTCTTATAAATATTTTTTGGTTTTATAAACTTTGTATAAAGTTTGTTTTTAACTGAAATAGATTTAAGTATTCCATACGTAATCCAAGGTTTTGATTTTAGTCTATTAGTTTATTTGATTTTAACACACAACTTAAAGATTGCAAATTTTATGAGTCAGGAAAACAAGATGAAGAGAGCAAATTGAATGATGATTTGATGAAGTCACAGTTAAAGGATGAGATTTGATTAAATGACCAGTAACACAAGAATGAAGTAGATAAAAAAGAGACGCTAGCTCTTTAGAACAGTGTCCATTATAGTATTTATAGAAAAGAGAAAGAGATAACATTATGACAATGTAGTAATGGCTGGAGTTTGGCTGCAAGAGCAGGTTCAACTATGTTTACAATGCGTTTTTAAACCATGTCTAAAAGAAAAAAAGGACATCATTGCCTGAGATATGGCAACAGTTTTCCATACAAAGATGGATTTTGCAATCATTATGATATAGGGTTTCCAGAAAGATTAAAAATAATAGCTAATCCGAGAAGATAAAGGGTAGATGACTCACCAAGTACATTACCGTTTATGAATATAGGAAGATCTAGATGATTGTGATAATGATTAGCTTGTAATTGAACCTTAACTCTGATAAAAATAACTTTTATCAGAGTTAAGGTTCAACAGCCCCTGAGAGCCACATCTAGGAGAAGTGAGATCCTCTCCAGCTTAAATGTCCCTTCTAAGTAATCAGAGAGTGTTGACTTCTTATCAAGACAAGAATACAAAAACTAATATTTTTATACCCTTTACAACTCGCATTAAGTGAGTAATCATGTCAAATATCTATAAACTAAGGCAACAGGTATTTGCTCAAGTTTTAAAAATAATAAGTTTTAGCTTATTTCACAGACGTTTTTATAAAAATTTTTTTTTTTTAAAGAGTAAAGCTAATAAATTTTAAAAGAATTAACCAAAAAGATAATTTATAGTACCAAGATAATTTAACCCATTCTTGTAAACCAGCATGACAGCTTTATTTTAAAGCTATTTTGCATTTTTGCAATTAAAAAAATTCTTTTCAATTAAAAAATTTAAATTCAAAAAAAAAGAGAAAGCGCTGAGGACATTTTTTGCTACTTACTTGTTACAGTCTTCTTTGTGATGAACTAAAAATAAATGTTCATTTGCCAAATCAAACAAAATCATAAAAATGCAAATATAAACAAAAAATGATGGCAGCAGAAAAAATGTTTGCTTATTGTGCAAAGAAGAAATGTTAACATAAAGCAATTTAAAGAATCAAGATTTAAAGAATCAAGAAGTCTATATCACTATATCTGCTCTGAATTTAGCCGGGAGATAAATTCAGACCAGATATAATCAAAGAAAAGATGTGGCTATATATCTAGATCTATATAAGTTTGTAAAAATACAAATTAGGTGTAAAACTTATGGGCAACCTTGTGGCTGTTGTGATCTCATTGATATAGAATGAAAAGGGAATAACTTAGGTTTGAGTTATAATATCACCAGGATTTATTTTAAGCTAAATATTGTCATCTTACATTTGCATATTTTAATATGGAAAATATTTTCTTATATTAACAATAAACAAAATTATTCTTACCTTAAAATTTTTTTTTTTCTTTCCTAAACTGTTAGTTAATGATCAATAGAGTAAATTTCAAATCTTGAAAATTACTAAATTAAAACCATTTTGCAACAGTATCCAACAGATTGTTTCTCAACAGTATCCACACTAAAATGAAATAATGTTGGTAAATATAAAGAGATATTCAATAGAAAAAATTTAAAGGTTTTGTTGATTAAAAGAAATTTAACATAAACTTTTGTTTTTTTTAGTTCTATATGTCCAATTATTAACTAATCTGTAGCTATAAATTTTTTTTAGCTTGTCTAAAAAAGCCATTTAAAAATGTCTTCTTAATCGGGTCAATGAATCTTCTTTATGTAAAGGAGAGCATGCAATTAAAACATTATCATTAGGTATCTTCACATTTAGGAGAGTATCATGTAGATTTGCATTATAATAAAAAAATTATTTACATAAAAAACTCAACATGCTTCGGTTACTCTGTAACAAACACATAATGTTCAGATAGAATAATGTTTTTAAATATATGTGGCTATGAAAATAACCGGTTTTTTTTGGCAGTTTTTTTTAATTGCTTATTCTATTGCATTGTCTGATATACTTTTTTATTTCGTTTACTCTGACAGATTTTCGTGATTTTGCTGTTTTTTTAGATTTCAATGAAGAATTAGGATTAGTGTATGGTTGAAGTCTAAAATAAAACAAATATTAATTATAAAAACAAAAAATAAATATATTTAAATTTTTGAAGAAAGATTACTAACAGGGCGGCGAGAGCCGTCACACCGCATGGGATAGCAACCCTGATCGGCACCCCTATTTATTAAAACCTCCTAAGTTATAGATGAGGGACTTTTTTTAAGATACCTTTTTCTCGTTTGGTGCCCCTTGGATATCTAACTGTCCCTTTCACCCCCCCCCTCCTTTTGGCAACTCTGGTTACTAATATTCTGTAAAAATAGTTCAGGAAAATTTAACTGAAAAACCAAAAGAAATAAAAAATAAGTATGTAAATTGAAGTCAAGTAATAAATATAACAAATTCAAATACTAGTTTAATTAGTATATGTTATAGTATATGGATTTGTTCTAATTATTACTTAACTTCAATATACATACTTATTTTTTATATTATTTATTATTTATATGTTTGTTCTAATAATTAGAACAAAAAGGAAACACATATATAATAAATAATAGCATTGTTTATTGCACAACAGACAACTTCAGATTTTGTAATGACTGTGACTACAAAAGCATTATCTGTATCAAGTAGTTACTGTAACACAAAAAAAACAGACACTTCTGTTCGGGAAAATATTTAGAAGGAATAAAAAATTGAGGTTTTCAAGTTTTTGACAAATTGTAAAATTTTTGTGGCCAGGTACACTAACCTTTCATTTTGATCTTCGTTTACATATATATAAGGCTAGTTGCATTAGTTATTAATAATTAATCAGCAGCTATTAATAATTTATATAACAATCATTAGTTTCTTACCAAGTTGTAGCAATCTTGACATTTCCAAAATTTATCTTTGTTTTCAAAAGAAATATTGTTGATTTTTTCGCATTCCTTATGAAACCAATGGTTACAAGTATAACATTGAGCCATTTGTCTACAAATAAGAATGAGCCTTTTAAATAAGTTTTCATTTTTTGTGTATAATCTTTTTTTATCCTAACTAGTATACTAATGCCTGTCTCTCTTATTCCCGACAGCACTCAATATTTCTGATATATATATATATATATATATATATATATATATATATATATATATATATATATATATATATTAGGGCCCTGCGAATCAATTCGCAAATCAAGAGTTGCTTAGATTCGAAAAAAAAAAAATTCAGGTTTTTTGAATCACTATTTATTTTGTGGATGTTATTTTTTTTTCAGATATCAAACTCTTTAAATGCTATCAAAATGTTTTTATGTATCTCACCCAGAGTAAAGTAATTGTAATTGAAAGTAATTGTTATTTGAAATCAGAATAATATCAGAATAATTTGTAAGGGTTATTTGAAAGCAGTATGCTTACAAATAACCCTTAAAAATTATTCTGTGCAAAAAAAAAAAAATTTTAAGCAGATTTTTTTTGTGTGAAAAAAGATGGTTAAATTTGGATTTCCTCATATTACTGATTTGATTCATAACTCAATTTGATTCGTAAATCAAGACCTGATTGATTCGAAACTAAAAATGCAGATTCACAGGGCTTTAATACACACACAAACACACACAAACACACACGCACACACACACACATGCACACACATATATATATAGTTACAGATTTTTACTGGATTTTTAGATGTATGAGCTTTGACACTTATAGGCATTGTGCAAACTACAAACTTTTTCATATTCATGCCTATGTCAAATGAGAATGTTTTGCAAAGGATTGCGTTGATTGGAGCTTGGAAACAAAAAAATTGTAATTTTTGGGGCCTACCCAGTCCTTAACGTGAGAGCAATGAGTTTATAAAATATTTTCTCTACTATTTTAATTTCATCATGCAATAATCTCTAATTTTTCTAAAATTATAACTATATAAAGTTTTAACCGCCCATAATTTGAGGGGGCTGTAAACTTTGCAGGGTCATAAAAAGATGTTATTGCATGAAATTTGAAATTTGTTAATGGATATAAATTTAGATAAAAATAGTAAAGAAAATATTTTACTAACTCATTGTTCCCACATTGACTGGGTAGGCCCATTAGAGGTTTTTTGTTCCCAAACTCCAATCACCACAATTCTTTGCAAAACATTCTTATTTGACATAAGCGTGAACATACAAAAGTTAAAGTTTGCAATGTCTATAAGTGCCAAAACTTAAACATCTAAAAAACCAGTGTACACCTCTGAGTTAATTAAATTAAACAAAGCCACAGCTACAACCAAAGCAGCCAGGCATAGTAAGCGAACGGGGTTAATATGTGACCGGGGCAAAAATATCCTAAAATAAATTTCATAAGGTAATTGTAAAATTATAAATTTCATAATGTATTGTAAAATTGCATTTACATTTAAAATGTAAGTAACTTTTTAATTGTAATTTTAATTATTAGAATTACATAGTTGAGCTATTCAAGTATTTAAATGTAAAGAAATTGATAAATACTAAAAAATAGTTAATTTTTTTTTGTTAGCCCCGGCTAGTAACCCCTGCAAATATTGCTTGTTTAGCCGGGGCCGGGTTTGCAAAAACCTCTGTTTTTAGCCGGAGCCAGGGACCCGGTCACTTACTAGCCAGGCATTATATGTACACTCCATAACAAACATAAAACATGCAATACAAAACCTTCCACATATTGTTCTATCTGATGGAATCCAAATCATCCTGCAAGAACAGTACAGTTTTAATTTAAATTCCTTTGGAGAGCATCTACGGCTTGCACTATTTGTAAGTGGAAAAGGAGTTATTAAATTATTTATTAAACAGGAAAGGGCATGATTTCTTAACTTTGTTTGATCAAACCAAATATCTTCTATAGGATACCTGTTTTGTGATAAAATAAATTCAATAAAGGCTATTGAAAACAAACCACAATCAATACCACCATCTTGTTGCTGTACTGAAAGCACTTTTACTGTAATCTCATCTTTTTTGTACTTTAAAAGGGCACATATTTGTTTTTGTGTTTCAAGGCTTAAACACCCATGAAAGTTACTATCAAGCACATTTATTTCACCATATGAACAACCATATGCACTGATGGCAAGCCAATGGTAATCCCCATTATATATAATTTGTACAAATGGTAAAGAACCAATAACATCAAACTTTAATAATTGTCCCAATTTGGGATCTTGAAGTCCATTTGCATAAGGGTTAGCTTTCTTTAACATATCTTGAAAACATTTAATAACTGTATCAGATAACATTCGATTTTTCGAAATGTCTTCAAAATCGTCTTGTGAAAGTAAAGAATAATTTCTTTCAAATAAAACTGATTTTCCTAAATAATTATTTGTAAAAGAATTTGTTTGAAAAGTTTCTTCACCAGTTATTTGATCTTCAGTAATAATTGATTCCTGCACTGGTGCTTCATAAAAATTACTTTCAATTTTTATTATAGAGGCTACCATCAACTTTTCTTTTTTTTTCACCCACACGATTGGAATACAATTTTTTTTTAACAACAGGTAAATCAACTATATTTTTTTGTTTTTTGTGTACATAATCATGCATACCATAACCTGAGCTTAATGGTAGACCTTTCTCTTTTTTTCTTGCTTGATAAAGCTTTTTAAGTACATTTGAAAGTGTTTCATGTAGATCAGATAGTTCTTCTGATGATTCATCAAAATCAAATGTTAAATTTTTTATGGTTGCTAGCATTTTGCGGACTTCAGAGGCTGTAGAACTTCTTTTTCTTGTACTATCTTTGTATGGATTTATCGTTGTTGTACTGCAAATAGTGTCATTAATTAAGTTGAAACTATTATGATTCACATGGTTACACTTGATTATATTTGATTTACTTAATACAAAATCATTAGTGAATGTGTCAATATTTAAAAATGGAGAACTTCTATATAAAGACAATATAGACTCCCATCCCCATGTTAGTGGGTACTTTCTAAAAATTATAAAAAAGTGTTTGCATAGATAGGAAGATTTAAACCAATCATTACATGAACATTTTGGCATGTTCTTCTCATCGCCAAAGTTAACAAGGTAATTTTTGTTTGCAATAGAAAAGCTATTGACTACAAATACTCCAGGATCTTTCATTTGCACTTTATTTAGATCAGTGTTGTTAGCCAAATTTTGCTTCGCTAAACAATGCTTAATAAAATGGTGTGGCCTATTTATCAAGTATTCAGGTACATTAGAATTGTATTGTTTAAATCGACAATCCATTTTGTAATTAGATTCTGAATATCTTAAAAAATAAGAAAAAAATAAATTAACTAATATATATAATATATATATATATATATATATATATATATATATATATATATATACATATATATATATATACATATATATATATATATATATATATATATATATATATATATATATATATATATATATATATATATATATATATATATATATATATATATATATATATATATATATATATATATACATATAAATATATATACATATAAATATATTTATATATAAACACAAAAAAAAAAAAAAAAAAAATTAATAAACTCCTTCAAATCAGGCTACAATAAAACTTTTTAATATACTTCTCAAATTTATCTGCAAAAAACTCTTCTATTAAAAGAGTAAGCATTCCAGTAATTGATGAACTTTTATGTCTTTGAAGATAAGAATATTTAAAAGATTCATGTTGCCTTTCGATTCCATTGTTGGTATTAAGGTTTACTAAAAATCGATCCTGACGATACCCCCATATCCATTTCTAGATAAAAATAATAATACTTGTTTTTGCAGATTTACATTGACATGAGTATAAGTTAATCTTGTTTTAACCATAAATTAATGCTTTAAAATTTGCAATACTTGTGTTATGTATAGCAAAAAATGTTAAATAATGTTAAATTTGGGATAATAATTATAATGTTAAATATATACTCACTTCTTTAATTTGTAACCAATAATTAGTAATATATTTCTTAAATTTATGAAATTTGTTGTCCAACCAAAAGTTGGAACATTTTAGCTTAACTATTGCTGCATCTGCCATCTTTTCATTTTGTGCCCATGCAATATTTCGTAGCATTGAAATTATTGAGTCTTTAAATTCTGAGCAGTTGTTTGTTTTTTTGACAATCCAGCGATGCCATGCCTGCTCTCTATGGAAATCACATATAAGAACACGGCAACTTAAAAATAATTCTCTATATTTTAAAATAAGATAAAACAAATACAGATGAGTTACACAACAAAAAAAAAAAGAGTTTCAAGTGAACTAAAAAATGACAACAGGAAACGGTTCAAAATATTCTATTAAATAGTTTACATTATTTATTTTATTTATTACATTATTTACTTTCAAATGTATATTTAAACTGTCATACTATTTATTAACAAATGAAAACTATTAAAAACTTTATTTATACCTGGAAAAACAGCTTCTAATGAATCCATTTCTTCAGTACAATAATCAGTCATCCAAAAGGAAGGTTGAAAGGATGGGTTCCAATCTTTTATTATGTGAAGCGCTTCTGTGATGGCTTGTTTTGTTTCACATTCAATAACAAAACTGGCTACTATTTGGTAGTCAAAATTAGTTTTTACAGTTAAAAAGAAGAGAGGAAGAGAATATCTGGTAGTCCTGTATGTGGCATCAAGTAGCAGTATCTCAGTTCCATAGCGCACGAGAAGGTGTTGTTGCCACTGTGACTGATAAACAAATAAAAATGAACATTTATCACCACCATCTTCGCCACTACAGTTTGGTCTAAGAAACACTTTGACAGACGGACCACATTTTTTCCATTCTTCACATTTTATGAAAAGACATTCTTGGTCAATCATGGAATGCCTTTATAAATAGAAACAACAACATTAATAAAATGAAAGTTTTAAAGATTACTTTAAACATAAATCAAGTTAACGTCTAAATTAGGTAAACAAATCATTTCATATGTATAATTTATACTAAGAAATAATCAACATTTGTGATTTACCGTAACTTTTTTTTAATTTTTACTATATGTGATCTTATGGTTGCAGTGTTGGGATAGAATCTTCTGCTATTCGAAGGAGGAAGATTTTCATTTCCAAAAGTATCTTTTACTGTCAAACGAAGGAGGTGCTTCATTTCCCTTATATTGTATATTCCTTCTATAACATATTCTTCAATCTTTTTTGAAATATGAGGATCGATTATTTGAGAAATTAGTTCTACCTAATTTAAAAAAATATTTAATATGGTAAATTAATTAATAAACTACAGTACTGTTTTAAACCTTTTTGCAAGTACAAAGTATATACAAAAATTTTATTTTTATCTTTCCAATAGGGTGTTTATCATGACATGATAAATCATCAATAGCTACAACAACTTTCCGAATATAAGGTACTTCATTTAAACATGACAATTTTAATTTTTCTTTCAATAGTTTTGATACTTTTTTTTTGTGCCAAGCTGAATGCTTAGGTAACTAAATTAAAACAATATTACAAAAACAATAAGGACTAAACTGGGTTTATAGAGGGACTTAGTCAAGAAAGTTGAGTGAGACACCTAAAACTTAATCCTGTTTCAATAAAGGCATATTTTTAAAAAGATACATCTTTCCACTAACCTTAGGGGACCCTTAAATCCGATTCAGGGCTGCTTTATGTCACACCACCATACATTACAAAATTAAAAAAGGAATGTTACCTATAATTTAGTTACTCAAACCTTGAAATCAGGAAATTGTAATATTTCTCTTATAACTATCTTTGCAGGACACATAAACTTTTTTGTATCTTGCAGAATCACATAATTTTTCTGAAAGCTGTGATCATCCATCTAAAAGAAACAAATGATAAAAGAAGACTTTTATTTAATGGGCACCACTTTTGGAATGTTGTTTATTTGTTTAAAATAGTGATGTTTTTTTTTTTGTTTTTTTTTTAAACTCTATGGTATTAGAGAAACAAGAAAAAAAATTTAATTGAGTATGAAAGATAAAAGTAATAACATTACCTTGGCATTTTTTTTATAACTATTTTTCGCTGAAATATTCCTATCAAAACCATGATGACAATCTAAAATTTTGTGACCAACAACCATATGAGGTATGCCTGAATACTGAATGACATAATCTTCCCATAGAACATTATGATTTTTTGCAATCATTTCTATAAAAAAATATATAGTTTTTGGAATGTGACTAAACTTATTAAAAAATTATATAAAAGCAACACAAACAAATTTATTATAAAAAAGTGTATTATATATATATAAATATATATATATATATATATATATATATATATATATATATATATATATATATATATATATATATATACAAATCTTGTTGTAGTTGCTAACTCATATTTTTTCACACAGTTTAATGCTTCTTCATGTGAATTACAATGATAAATTAATTTTTTTTTTCCTTCTATAAAAATTAAAATCAAATTGATCAGTATACTTTCAGTGAATATGAAAATAGACTATAAAAACTATTTTGAATATTTCTTACAACAACAACAAAAAAAAGGCACACTAAATGATATCACAAACCTTTGTATAAAGTTTTGTGATATCATTAGAAAAAAGTTTAATAAATGTGTTCAAGAACTTTAAATAAAGAACTTTAAATAAAAAATAAGTAAAGAACTTTTTAGGCATAAAAAAAAGCCTATAATAAAGTACTAGACCTAGCACTTAATGTACTGTCAATTTAACTGTTAACTGCTACAAAAACTTAGTTTATCTTACAAAAAACTAACTAATTTTAAACTTTAGATAATAATTTTAAATCACAAACAATTGCAAAAAAAAATTCTATATGACGACAATTTTTTTGTTTTGATTGTTCTTGTGTTGTCCATTTAAATAACATATATATGCTACTGACACTATTTTTTCTTTTTTTTTCCTATATAAGAAATAAGAAAAAAACTGGCAGTTTTTGTACGGTAACAGTGACTAAAAACATACCATAAACAATATCACGTGTAGGTAAACAATTATTTTCAATGATACTCAAACTTTGTTCATAGACTTCTAAATTAAAAAATATGTCAATAACTATATAATTATTTATTGCATTTATTTTGTTTATAACATTGTTATAAACAAAAAAAAATGTAATAAGTTTTGCATTTATTAAACTGAAAATGTTTATATATTAAGTTACCTTTTATATTTCCGCTTTCTTCATCAGAGCTTATTTCATCAGAACTGCTGAAATTCAAATTTTCGCCATACATAGATAAATCCATAATCTTTGTTTTTGTTTGCTTTAATAATAATCCTTAGTATTTAATATTACGTTTCCTCGTGCAATTATTTGCTGTTTTGCATTAACTCGAACAAATAAAAAAGTTAACGGCCACCGAAAACAAAAAACATACAATATTGTTTATATTGTATGTTTTTTGTTTTCAATATAATATTGTTAGACAACAATCTACACAAGCATAATAAAGAACTGTATTAGAAAACTAATATCATTTATATATGTATATATATATATATATATATATATATATATATATATATATATATATATATATATATATATATATATATATATATATATATATATAGAACATATATTATAATAGCATCTATTTAATAACTACTAAGCTATTGAATACAGAAAGTAACGAACTGATGTTGTCGGCTGCACTACAACTTTGTTTATCTAAAACATTGAAAGAAATATTTAAGTTATACATAAAGATTTAGATAGTGGCCAGATAATTTAAAAACAGTTTAATAAATTTATATTGAAACAACTTATCCATAAAGATATTTCTTATTAAATAAAAACAAAGTTCAATCTTCAAATTAGATATGATTCATCAATAATTTAATTCACATCTAATTCTTATTAATAAATTACTAGATGAAATACTAGATGAAACCTTTACTTTCTTCCTCCATTTTATTTCTAAATCAAATATAAAATCAAAGTCTTATTTTAATATTTACTAAAAATTGTTTTATTAAAGTAATTTTCTTTTAAATGTACAAATTTTTTAACTATATTTTTATTCTAAAATATCTAGGTTTACAATATCAATTTATGACATAAGTCAAATATTGCTAATATGAATACTATATATGTAAAATATAAAAAAAAACAAATAGACCCCTCTGTCTCCCGCGCCAACATCAGGTAAAATGTAAATTAGGTAACAAAAGTGCAGCAAGAAATAAGGTGACTGCTACAAAATATTTTTCAACGAAAATTGGCAGGTGCATAGATAAATGAAAAAATTTGATAAAAAAAATGGATAGAAAAAAAAAAGACTTTATCCTAGACATTAAATTCACCACAGAAGTACAACCAAAATTTTGACACCAATAAACTCGTTAATAAATTAAGTGAGTATAATTAAAAACCAATCGAACTAATGCTTCAACTATTCTTCTTTCTAAAAATAATTTATGTTGATAACGAATACTAAAAAGTTATTCCACAATGCCTTCCTCAAGCACTCTAACTTTTAAGAGACTACAAAAAACGTGGAACAGAATTTTAGCACAAAATTCGGTTCCGTAAAACGCGATACTCACGTACCTAAATAAATAGTGAAAAACTATAACTTTTAGTTATATATTTAGTTAATATATTTACTTTAAAAAAAATGCATCTTTAAGTTTCAAAATTATTACCTCCCCTTAGTAAATCGTTTAAAGTAAGACGGTGTGATAATGGCATGAAGTGATAGTAATCGGAATTATGCAACTATATATCAATAAGTTATAAAATTATGTAAAAATGATTTACAAGTATAATGTCTGAATCATCACATCCCCCTAAGTAAATCATGCAATACAAAATGTTTGAATCTGGTATTGAATGATATAAATTATTTTTATATTTTACTGTAATTGGAAATTTTTAAAGCTTTTGATATTTAACTTGTTTTCCTATAGGAATATAAGAAAGACTTTTGTTTTCCTATAGGAATATAGAATAAAAGTGTTATGCTTACTTTAATTAGTAAAGTTATTAGTCCAACATATCAATATTATTTTAGCCTCATTTAAAGATATTGTGATGTTATATTGGTATTTGATTTTTTTCCAAACTAACGCATATTAATTTTCTGGTATGTATATATGTTTTTAAGTTCTATGTTTGCTATTTCATATGTTCTACAAAAATTAGTATTGATTTTTTTATATTTTCGTTTAAAAAATTATTTGTTTTGCGCAAATTGAAAAGTATTTCTTTATTTAATAAATTTTTTTTTTGTCTATTTGTTTTAGTTCGACAACAAGGTTCTGCTCTACTTCATTTCTTATGTTTAATTTGACTACTGTTGAAATATGGTTTTAATTTAGTAAATTTTCATGAATTGAAATTTACTTTATTAATCATTAGCCAACAGTTTAGGTAATAAAATTGAATTCATCGCCTTTAAGGTAAGAATAACTTTGTTCTTTGGTCACACCATTAAAAAGTTTTTTTATTATATTCCTTTATTGGTATTTTTCACTAAAACAGTTTTTTATATTTATTATTATGTCATCGCTATTTTGTGTAACTAAACCTAAAAACAATTCAGCTAACATAACCTTGAAAATTTATTAGTTTTTTTTTATTACATTTTTGTTTCAGATAACCATGTTGAAAATTTTAAGAAAAGCTTGAACAAAAAATAATTATTCGTAGAAATTCTAAAATTGAAGATTTTATACTTGCTTATATAATAAAAAGATGAAATAAAGATTTTTTTCTGAGGATTGTAGCAACCTTTTTGAAATTCTTACTTGTAAAGCAAGTCAAAAATTATTTAAAAAATGCTGAATTTTGAATTAAAAAAATAAACTTTAATCTGAAAAAAGATTTATTTTTTTTATTGAAAGTGGTTGGCGTCTGCTGTAAAAAGTAATTTAAAATAATTATTTTTATTGGAATTACAAGATTTAGCATAAGATAAAAACCATACTCTGCTATAGATTTATAGTTTTTCTAAAGTCAGTGCTTGATTTACTTTAACTTATTGCATAATTTTGATTTAATAATTAATTAAAATCTCCAAAAGTGAGAACGTTTATCATGGGCTTGGGGTAATGGTAACAGTCTAAGACCAAAGTATTGGATTGCCATTGCACTTTTGCTGTTTTTTTCTTCTTTTACGCAGCAATATTTTGTTTTAAAGTGTTTTGTTAAATAAATAGTGTTTTGTTGTCCTTATTTTGAATATTGTCGCCATATCTGGGGAAAGGAGGGGTGGATCTTAAAATGATACTCTTTCCTTTCAGACAAGGTACAAAAACACAATGTAAACATAGTTGGATCTGGTCTTGCAAACCTCTAACCATTATCACATGTAATGTTGTTTCTTTTTCTCAATTCTACAAATACTCATGCTACTCCTCATTCGATTAAGTCTTATCCATTTTCTGTGACTGTTCCTAAGTGCTCCAAAAATCCTTATTCATCTAGTTTTTTCTTTGAACATAAGTGCTTTGGAATTCACCTGCTTCAGTTTCTATTTTGATTCATATAATTTCTAATCTTTAAAGTCATATGTCAATCGTTATCTTGCTTTATAAACTTCATCTTATTCCAGAAACTTCCAACTCTATTAGAGGTTGATAAACTAATAATAGGTTTATTTATATATGTTAGTATTAGTATAGTACCCCTTTTACTTTAAGTATAATACAAACTTATGCTGCCATGAAAAATATAATATATTTACACAAAATAGCAATGACATAATAATAATAAAATACAAAAAACTGTTTAATGGTGTGACCAAAGAACAAAGTTATTCTTACCTTAAAGGCGATGAATTCAATTTTATTACCTAAACTGTTGGCTAATGATTAATAAAGTAAATTTCAACTCATGAAAATTTACTAAATTAAAACCATATTTCAACAGTAGTCAAATTAAACATAAAAAATGAAGTATAGCAGAACCTTGTCATCGAACTAAAACAAATAGACAAAAAAAAAATTTATTAAATAAAGAAATACTTTTCAATTTGCATAAAACAAATAATTTTTAAATGAAAATATAAAAAAATCAATACTAGTTTTTGTAGAACATATAAAATGGCAAACATAGAACTTAAAAACATATATACATACCAAAAAATTAATATGTGTTAGTTTGGAAAAAAATCAAATACCAATATAACATCACAATATCTTTAAATGAGGCTAAAATAATATTGATATGTTGGACTAATAACTTTACTAATTAAAGTAAGCATAACACTTTTATTCTATATTCCTATAGGAAAACAAAAGTCTTACAAGTTAAATATCAAAAGCTTTAAAAATTTCCAATTACAGTAAAATATAAAAATAAATTATATCATTCAATACCAGATTCAAGCATTTTGTATTACATGATTTACTTAGGGGGATGTGATGATTCAGACATTATACTTGTAAATCATTTTTACATAATTTTATAACTTATTGATATATAGTTGCATAATTCCGATTACTATCACTTCATGCCATTATCACACCGTCTTACTTTAAACGATTTACTAAGGGGAGGTAATAATTTTGAAACTTAAAGATGCATTTTTTTTAAAGTATTTTTAATTAAATATATAACTAAAAGTTATAGTTTTTCACTATTTATTGCATCACTCAATACCATTACCACACCATTTTTTATTAAATGATTAGCTTGGAAAAAGGAAATAATTTAGAGGCAAGATTAGTAATTTACTCAAGGGGAGGGTATAATTCAGACAGATATTTGTAAATTAATTTTACATAATTATATAACTAATTTATTCAGTTTAAACAGAAATTATACAACTATCAACTAATTATTAATTATTTTATAGTTGTAGATTTTTAATCATTATACTGTAATAAAGATCAGACTGTCTTACATTAAGCAATTTATAAAGGAGAGGTATTAATTCAGAGAGATATAATTTATATCTGTCTGAATTTAACTTTTACATATACTGTTATATAATAAAAGTATTTGTAAAATAGTTTCATGCAAATAAATAACTAATTAGTATATAGTTGTTTATTTTCTATCATTACGACACTTTCTTATATCGTCTTTCTTATATTACTTTTATGTAAACTTTATTTCTAAAATTCTTGTCATTTAAACGTTTTTTTCTTTTTGTTTACAATGGTTGTACGGACGTTTTAGGTACACTTCTAACAGTTATAACCCAAAAGCGCAATCTCGTTTTGATTTTTCATAGGGGGATGGAATAATTCAGGCGGTGGGAATAATCTACTACAGTACACACAACTCAGGGGTTCTTTCTAGAATTTTTTTATATATAATTATATGTATTTTATTTTTATTTGGTTGTACTTTACTAAAATCACTAAACACACACACACATATATAAATATATATA